TTCAGAAATTAAAAATATTAATTATTCTGCCATTAATGAAACTGACAAGACATAAACACACAATTATCATTGACAACAAACTTAATGAATGATGAAGAGTTCAAATTAAATATTACATTTATTAGGTACCCTATAGCTAAGTTAATTTAGCAAAAAAAAATACTACTAATATCAATTAAGTTTTATGTTACTCTTCATACAAGAAGAGATTTTTTAAGATAATTCATCATAAAAATCCCCTGAATTTTATATTCTATTTCATCTCTTTCCAATCAATCTTAAAAAGCCACCAAAGAACAAGATACATGTAGTAATTTAAAACACACATTATTAAAGGATGTAAAATACTAACATCCAAGTATTTAATATCACAGCAGTTGACCAATGTTAACTGACACCATTGAAAAAAATAAAGTTATTACAAACAACATTCGTAACATTCAATTATTAATTGGCTGGCAGTTTTTCCATTAACAACAGCAAAAAATATTTAATAATAAAAGTAAATACAATCTGACTTATGGACTCAGACATCCTAAAATAAGTAACATAATCAAATATGTTTCATAAAAAACACAAAAAGCATCACTCACCTTTTTCTTTCTTAAAATTAATATTAAATAAATATTTAGCTACAGAAATATTTTACTCATAATTTTAACTGACATTAACATAAACTGCTATGTAATTAGGAATTGAATATAACTTTTTAAACAAATGGTACTTTTTGATCTTATTTTTTTAAAAATAGTTTCTTATAGAAAGTGCAAAACTATGAATGATCACTTAATTGGACTCATTTTCAAGTTGCTTACTTTGATAATACTCAGGCTTCAAAATTTTCATTACATTTGTTAATAGTAATATAATTATTTAACTTCTTAGCAACACAATAAATTAAAAAGCAAGTAAGTTTACTGGCCGTGACTTAATTTCCATACATTGTAATTATACAAATAAAAAGTACATGTATAACTAAACATTAAATTATTTAACATGTGCAAATAATAAATATATTTGCTGCAGCTTAATGAATCTTGACACACACATTATGTTTCCCACGACAACAAACAAACAAACAATGGACAGAAACAACAAAAGTACAACAAGAGATTATGAAACAACATCTGACAAGCACGGTTGAACAAAGATTAAAACTTGTCCACAGCTGAAAGGACATAATCATTTAATTTTTACAATTAAGTCTGACAGTTTCTGCCAACTGCGGTTTAAGATTAAATATGATGAGTAACTTTCACCATTCACAGATTTTTGCTGGTATGAAAACTTGAAGGCAGTCACCTGTTTGATCATGTGGTGTGATTGTCAAAGTGTTGAGAGAAGTCCTGAGATAGAATGTTGTCCGTAGCAAGGACTGATGTTGGTCCTCATCAAAATCAAGTGAGGAATTAATTTTGTCTGTACAGATCGATGTCAGTTGAGTGATTTCAGTCTGGTTTGTGAGTCTGGTTGTCTGAGTAAAAAAGTCTGGAAATGGACTGTTATCCATAGCAAAGACTGATGTTAGTAATGATTAAACTTAGGTTATAAAGCAGAATGCAGTCTGTCAGTTGGAGATTTTCAGTGTGGTTCATGATCATGAAAACTGATTGATTAGAGAGAACTGATCGGTCAGTTTTTCCACACTTTTCTGATAGTGAAATACAGGTGGAAAGGTCACTCTTTGATTCTCATATTGATCATGCACCGTTTCTCACACAGACCCTGGTAACTCACTTGACATTCCATTCGCCATATTCGTTGTCCCAGCCATATGATGGAAAGTTTTCTGGTTTGCCCATGCTCACAGCCTGCTCTGTTATTTCAATCAGTGGATTGGACGACACAGGATCGCCTGATAGTTGGTATCATATATGATTTTACAAAAAGCACTATTTCTGATATCTGCACACACCGGAAATGTGGAATTCCCTCGGGAGAGACGATAGAGCTCAAGATCCTCTTAGGAAATGAAACCCACAAATCTTTTCCTCTTCAATTTCCAAATTCTTGCCAGGTTTTCAGAACAAAAATTAGAAAGAGACATGGGGAGGTTCAGGATATTAAGAACCCACCACAAAATCCAATAAAACAGGTTAGGGATGGACATAAATTATCCCCGACAACAAATCACCTCTGAGTCACTCAACCATTCCTCTCAGCTTTCCTCTTAGTACAGTACATGTTATTACCCCCCTCTCCCCTCCCTTCCCTCCCAATCAACTCCTCCCACCCTTCCCCTCTAGTTTCTGCTATCTCATACATTCCACTCTTCCATATAAATTTTTTTCTCACTTCAAATCCCACTTTTTCTGCAAACCATTCCTTCAACTCAACCCACTTCACATGCAGTCAATTTTGTGGTAATTATTTTCCCCCATACCCAAATTTTGAAGAAAACCTGGCAAGAATCACAAGTGTCTTGTAATTTCTGTGTTTTGGACCATTCATAAAATTTGGGTGCATTTAACAAGCAGCTTTTTGGTATACAATCCAGTAAGAAAAACATTCAGAGTTCCTTTAAATATCCAGGTACTGTGGCAAATGGAAGAAACAGTCACATGACTGTGAAAAAAATTTGAAGCAACAGCCAGTCGTCACTTCTTTTGGAAATAGGTTTTAGAAAAAGGAATGTAAATGTGCAATGTATTTTTCTGTAACAGGCATATCTTTTCATTACAGTAACACGGTACTATGACAGCAATATTTTAATTTATACAATTTGTGTTGCACTCAAAAAATAATTCAGGGCCAATTGAATTTGAGATTAACTTGTATCCAAAGGTGAACATTCTTGTTTGCTCTCATTGTTACATGTAAGTTTAAGTCTGCATTTGAAATTAGTCAGTCTGCTTTCAATGTCTTAACAAACAGATGTTTTTTTATATCACCAATTTCTCTGAGTGTTGATTTTCAATTTTTTTTTAAATCCAAACAGATAAAACTACCTTTTAAATTATTTTCTTACAGACACTTTTGGTGCATTTTGCATAATCCTCAGAGATGAGGAGATTAAATAACTTTTGTGAGTGTTGAGCTAAAAGCTCTTTTTTCTTCAGGTATGTGTTTGTAAGTTATAATTGTGTGCTTAGGAAACATTTTACATTTGATGAGAATGTTTGAATCATTCCACCACTGTGGGACAGTGGTACATCACGAAGGATGGACTTCACTCTGTGAGACAGCCAACTGGTAGAAGAGATATAACAAGTGTTCTGTTCCAGCTATGCATGGGCACAAATCTGTAGGCACCTTCTTATGAGACCAAATTCCAGGACAACAGAAGCCTTAGGGTGAGGCCATTTTCATGGGAACCAGAGATGAACACATTTTAGGACCCAAAGGGGTGCAGTTCTGATATAAAAGGGGCCCTTACCTTGCCCCCACCACTGACCAATAGAGTTTAATATTACATATGAACACCTTGTAGGTTTAATTATTATCCAACTGCACTATGAGTAGAGTACAAATAACCTGCAATATTTTGACAGTTGTTCTTTTTTGTACTGTAAAAAAGACCTGTTTAACCACTCGACTGTTCCCACTTTTTAAAAAAAGTGCATCAAAAGCAGTTGGATAACAAATAACTTATCAGATGTTTTGGTGTGTAATATCACACAGTATTTTTTTACTCATTGTTTGTATTTTGATTTTACAAAAACTGTTCTTTAGTATATTCTGCTACTAAATTTTAAACTAATTACGCAACTCAGACTAGCAAAGAAAACTTTATCTAACTCTCTCATAGCAACCATGCAAATTAACTACCTGGCTAACAAAAACTATCCCATAATATTTTTCTCCCACAACATGTTATCTACCTTTCCAATAATTATAAAGTTAGCAAGACTATTGCCTCAAAGAATTTCACAATTATCAGTACAAGCTGTGAGTTTTACCTGTAGTCAATGGTCCATTTTTCCATCCCTTAGGCTTTTTGACAAGTTTCAGCGGCATCTGACGAATCAAAACTGATGAGGTCTCAAAGTGGATCCTTGCAAAAAGCAACAAAAACATGTTGATTGCTAATACTACATGTATTACTAGGCAACCAAAACTCAGTGAATTCAGTGAAGAAACAAATTTAAGAACTTGTAATTGAAAATAGGACCTGAAAAAAATTCAGGCCTGTACAGGATTTGAACCCATGACCTCTGTGATACCAGTGCAGCACTCTACCGACTGAGCTAACGAGCCAACTGGGATCTGGTACCGGCTCCCAGTTGGCTTGTTAGCTCAGTTGGTAGAGCACTGCACCAGTATTGTAGAGGTCATGGATTCAAATCCTGTACAGGCCTGAATTTTTTTCAGGTCCTATTTTCAACCACTAGTTTAGTAGTGTCCTTACCCTTGAGGATCTCTTAAAAATCCATGTATTATCATGTACATAATATTATGTGTAAAAAATTATTTCTTTATTCCCCAAAAGTGATCAAATTTAAAGTAATTTTCTAAATTGTCTGAATTTAAAGCATCATGCAGTGCATTAATTGTCAACTGAATGTGCAGGTGATAAGAAATTAAATTACTATGAGATAATATCAACTGGAATTTTAACATGATTTTACTGAAAGTGAAAGGGTTACAAGGCACTGTGGAGGTCAAAACTTGTGACAAATAAACTGTTTTTATTCAACTGTCAGTTCATTGAACAGAGGCTATCCAATTGTATTTTAGGTCTTGCCTAGCTGCTTACTAATGCCTTATTTGAAATGAAGCCTGTAGAATATACAATAAAATTATCTCGCAAAGATTTCACATGTTATACCCGTAGATTAAACAAATTGTAAAATCAAAGCAATTTAAATGCTAAAAAAATGACATCTTTATAACCTTTAATGTCATACCTTTCATGTTCAAATCCCATGAAAACTGCCCACTAAAATAAAGATAAGCTCGTACCATTAGGCTTTGATACAACAAAAAGATTACTATACTTAACACATTCCACTACCCCTCCCTAACAAGAGCAGAATCATCAGCTCACAATCTTTTAATCATACCAAAATTAATAAATTCAAAGGTGTGAAAAAAATTATAGACCCTGCAATCCCAGGTGTGATCAATATAATTCTTAAAATGGTAAGTAGAAAGGTGATAAGGAGAAAAAGGTGTTGTCTGACCAAGGATTTGATCAGATACCAAATTCTCAGAGCTACAATGGGAATACAGTGAGGAGAATCTACATAATTGCATATAGGTAAAATTTTGATCAGCAAACTTGACATATAAATTGCAAAGCAACCAATAGGAATATCGAAAAATCCCCTCACAATTTTGAAGACCAACCACTCAGGATTGAAACTGTCAGTGCAGAGGTTTCATTTGTGCAGTCACACAGATTTGATATGCGCTTAATTTGCTCAAAGAAACAATATTGTATACTTCAAGTTGAGGCACCCCATTCCTTTCCAATAACATCAAAGCTTAAACAAAAGAATTTTTGCTGAATAGTGAATTTTATAACCTTTTCAATAATATATAGTTTATGGTGGTTATGCATCAAATAGCACATAACATTTTTTTTTTTTTGCTAAGGACACCCACAAAGGTCTACCATATCCTTAAAACAAGACCCCGATGGTTTTACCCATTGGCTGTCCTGAGTAACGGGCAGTTCCAGTGGTGTGTTCTCAATGACATCCAAAATGACTTGGCGTGTTTTCTTGCGGAATTCTGCCACTTCAACAACTGTTGGCCATTTAAAGCTGCCTCCCATCCTGTAGTTCTCCTAAAAGAAATGCAACCATCCCTCATTGTGGTTTTCACATTAACCCTTTGATCCTTAACCCTCTCACTCCCAAGATCTAATCAGTAATTCTCCTTACTATCTGCCATACAATTCTTATGATGTTAGTTCAGAAAATTTGGTATTGGATCAACTAATAATCCCATGATTGATATTCTTCTCTATTCTCATCACCTACCTGCTTGATATTGTATTGATATTGTAAGGAGAAATTCTGTCTTGGTCACTTGTGGGAGTGAAAGGGTTAAGTGTGACTTGCATCTAATTTCTCCTTAGAAAATCACCCCTAATCAAACATTTGAGACCACAAGAATAAAGGGAAAGTCATCATCAACTTGTTATAGTAAATAAAATCCTTCTTGTCAGCACTTAAGGAAATGTATAGAGAACAGTATGGAGAATATGCATACTGATGTTGGGGTGAACTAGTGAGACTCTGTAACCCCTAAGAGTGACTAGCATCCAATTTCTCACTTCAATATCACCCCTGGCTCAAATATTGAGGTTATCAGAACAAAGGAAATAGGAAAATCTGTAATTTAATTGCCAAATGGAAATCTGTAATTTTGCAAATTGGAAATTCATGTATATACTAGGCAACATCCAAGCTGTCGATGTATAGCCAAAAGTTATTGTGAAACAATAAATCAAAAATTTTTTATCACCGTGTCATCCCATGACATTTCATCTACACCCGTCTCAAAGAGTGTCTCAAGGAAAAAATTCACCCTCTCCTGAAACAAAAAAAAAAAACCTATGTGAGATAAATAATTCAGTCAAGTACAAACCTATCCAACTCAGATGCAAGGACTTCAACCAATTCTCCTCTCCACTGTCCCCTTATAAGAGATTAACTCTTTACCTCTCCCCTCAGGCTGCTATACATTTCCTTGTAAATTAGTAATGAGAATTTAGTGTTAGATCAAGATGACAACTTCTACCTGATAAGTATTCTCATTACTTAGAGATTAACCCCTTAACTCTCCTCTAAGGCTGTCACATATTTGCTTGTAAATTAGTAATGAGAATTTAGTATTAGATCAAAGTGACAACTTCTACCTGATAGGTATTCTCCTAACTCTACATAAAGTGATGGATTAAGTGGATCACTTCAAGGAGTTTTTTAAAAAAAAAAGTTACAAGTAAATGCCTGGTTGCATATATAGTTTGGTCAAAGCAGCTAGGTCAGAATAAACTGCAATTAGAAATATGGTTCTCCCCACACTCCCAAACCTGAAATTTATTTCTTGGTCTTTAAAAAATGATTCTATTCTGTTACTATAAATAACATTCAACTTGAATATCATGTAAGACACATACCTTCAGAAGGCCTGAAAGAACAAGTTTATTGATATAAACAGCTGCTGTATGGCCAAAGTAAAATATCAAAGGAAGACGTAGACGATCTGGGCATTTGTAAAATGCTGACTCATCTAAAACAGAATTGAAAAAAACAATGTTAAATTCCCATGTCAGTGTCACCTGGACAGAAACAGTGTTCATGCATATGCTGCTTGCTAGTTTGGTACAAATATTATTAACAACTATATCTTATCTTAAAATTTCCATTTGACATTACAGATTGGAGATATCTCCACCTATTACACAGAGTTATTCCGCTAAATATTTTATCTTTTAAGCAATCTTTTTAACCAGTAATGGCTAATATTCCTTGGTTTTTAAATTCTGTTCATTATAAAGGGGTAAGTTTCTAAAGAAACTGTGGTGCTGTGTCAGTGAGAGAGTATAGCAGGTAATTTAGTGTTTACAACTGAGTTGAAAACGTAAATTAGCCACCCTAAAGGTTAAAAAAGCTGATGTTTCGAGCATTAGCCAAAACGAAACATCAGCTTTTTTACCCTTTACGGTGGCTACTTTACGTTTTCAACTCAGTTGTTAACACTAAATTACCTGCTCTGTTCATTATAGGTTTCAGGCTCAATATTTTACAGTAGCCATTTGGTGAACTAACATCACAAAATGACCGTTGCCAGAAGTTTCTGGAACATCACATGAAATACAAAACTTCATCACGACACTTGTCTTTAGATTAAGAAGTATGGCCGCCATTGTTAGAGATTCATTCCACTTCTCAAGGCTTATTACTTGGGCAATCAAGCAGCCATAAGAAGATATTTTAACCCAAGAAAAGAACAGAGCATGAGTAATATTCAGCTTCAGACCAAGAAAAATAGGCTATAGACTTTTGCAACTAGTTACATCAGACAGCCCAACACAGGTAAGCAAATTGACAACTTACCCCACAAATTTAAATGCTTAAATTTATGGAAATCATGGCAACCACATTTTATAAGATAACTATCTTTCTGCTCTGATTAAACTCTATATCATACATAAGAAAAAATAATATCTTTGGCAATGCCTTTTGTAAAGTACTTGAAAAAGCACAAACAAGTAAAGTCTTTTTATCATTTCAGATAAGTGGTAAAATCAGTGAAGCAGAAAAGACAGTAAAACACAAAATTGCAGAGAGAAGATCTTTTTAATTTGCATTTTATTAAATATTCAGATTGTCAGTCATCACACCAGGAGGCAATTAGTGGCACCGGAAAAAAAGACATTTGAACAGGTTAACATCAATCAATCATCAAACCATTGAAGCAGAAAAGACAAAACACAAAATTGCAGAGAGAAGATCTTTTTAAATCTGCATTTTATTAAATATTTAGACTCAGTCATCACACCAGGAGGCAAATAGTGGCACCGGAAAGAAAAACATTTGAACAGTTTAACATCAAAGGTGTCTAAATATACCACAAAACGAACACGCTACGTATGATGGCTTCCTTGAAGTGTCATATTCAAAATTAACATGCAGTGGAAGGATGCATTTAAGAAAAGGTGCCTCAAGGGAAATAATCTCAGAGCTGTTTTAAAGTATCTGGAGCCTCTGAAGGAAAATTAACCCTTCAAAAAAGTCTCCTGAGATTTATATTCTCTCTTAAAAATAAAAGTCGCACTACTGAATGGTGACAAAATCATTTAACATGTGTATTGTACATCTATTTTTATATTTTTTTGTTTATATAAATCGCGGCCAAGAGATATCACTGAATCACATCTCTCACACTTGATATATTTTGACGTTCGGTCCACAAGAAAGTTATCTTGAGTTAGCTCATGAAGAGCATTTATTCTCGCTCTTGAAAAATATGTAGCGAGCGACGACAAATGTCTCTTCTCTTGCTTTTTCTTTAGACGAGGGTAAAGGACATTTCACAATTATTGTGTTTTCACACGAAATATTAACTATGCATGCTTAAGGGTTTAAATGTTATACATCTGCTTGTGATCAGCTTAAATGTACAAGCTAAAAAGGGATGTTTAAAAAAAGTGAAGCGCACACAATTGCTCTGATGGGAACGGATAAGCTTAGTTTGAGACGAGTTGAAAAGGGATGAATAAAATCTTTCACAAGCAACTCTATTTTACCGATTGTCTTCGGAAAAGTACCCTGTATTATACAGACGAAGAAAGCGAAACCATCCATGTCGCATGACCATCGCTTTTTTCGCGACTTTCACTTTCACACCCGAACTTCCTGGGCGTTGTAAGATACTGCAAAATATTTTTTAGTTGTTGGATCACACCTGAGAACTGATCGAAACCAAACTAAGTTCTTAACCTCTACCGCATTGAGACGCGCCTGAAAGTTCCTGAAAGTTCGTCTCTATGGGAGAATTTAAAGGTCGCCTGATTTGCATGAAGCACACGTGTTGTAAGTTCTTTTTGTCGAAAACCCTGAGTCATACACAATAAATTTGTATCAAGCCGAAATAAGTCCAGGTAAATAAAATTATCAACATGGGTAACGACCTTTTATATTTTTTATGGAGGGATACTGAGGGTAGAGTGTTAATCCTGGTTTGATGAAGAGAGAAATACTTAAAAAAATACTATACATTCAGACATCGTCTTCCAGTTGGTATGACGCGCGCCATCTGGTGGCTAGGGGCCGGAACAAGGAACCGCGAATTTAAACAAGAAACAGAAGTCGGAGAGCACAAGCTACCGCTTACCTTTTAGACTCGTGAATAATGTCTCGTACAGGTCGTAGGTGTTTTCGAAGTATTCTTTGATCTCTCTGCAAAGAATCAAAAACGGTAACCAATATTAACTTTTGCCGCGCGAGATGTAGCGACGATCAATGTGATTATCATTGCATTCGCAAACGAAAAGGAAGATTACCTCTTGGTACAAGACGAGAGATCGCATGGCTTTAAAGAGTGAAGAACGTGTCTACCACTTGGCTGAAACACAACCATCGCTACTGGCTAGAGAGTCAGAGTGAAATTTACTATGAAGTTCCTTTGAGCACGCTCGTAGTCACGTTTTGAAAATCTTCCGCCTCTCTGGTCGCGGGGGCCTGGGATGTCCTGTGGAAATGGTGAAACCCTTTGTTATTAGCTCAATCCAGTACGTATTCAAGTAGGAAAGATTTCGCAATAAAATTCCATATATTTTGAAACTACAATCTCAAGAGCTATGCAACATAAATTGAAATCAAAAATTACATTTCTGACTATGCGAAATTTATCGCCTAATTTAGCTTAAAGTCTCGTTTTCAGAAAAGCCTAGAAAAATTTACCGACTTTGCGATTAAGTATTAATTTTCTGTTGAAGAACATTCGTTCCAGTTATCTCAATTTGTATATAAAGGTCGTTATGTAATATCCGCTTCATGTCTCAGGCTTATAGCACATCAAAACACACTCGTAAGAAAGTCGAGCGTTGTATGGAGGACATTGTATGAAGACGGTTATCAATGATACATAACCCTGAAAAGTGAGGCGAATACTAAAGTAACCACGCTTGACCATCATCCGTCAGCAGGTTACAATCGTGGCTTCCCTGCCGTGAGTGAAGTGGAAAGAGAACTACCTAGCTAAGTTGTTTTAATTTCCTTGCTCGAGCCTTCTGCCTTTTATGATCTCTACCCCGGGATGAAGAAAATTGTACTCACTTTAAATGCAACAGAAAGGATAAATATATTTCTTTTTTGAGAGCTGATGTTTCCTGAGCTAAATAACCGTGCTGTCTGTTATGCAATCGATGGCATGAATCATGTCACAGATCGGCTGTTATCCCTCCAAGGAATAAGTTAGACAAGCAACATGGCATCGTAGACAAGTAAACAAGGGGCTTTCTTCTCAGTTAAAAGAGATTAAGACACATGGCTGACAGAACTCAATTGAACCTTGAAGAGCACCAGAACAGAGACACGGACCCTTAAATGTTATATCAGAGTAGACAGTCGCCTCGTTCTGTTTTGTTTTGTGTTTTTGTGGTAAATCTTATACGACTGAACTGTAGTGCTTCCTAAGCTAAATAAACGTATATTTTTCCAGTTTAAGTCCCTTGAGGGTTTTGGCGGTTTGTTATGCAATCAACACTGAATCGTGACGGGAAAAATGTCTGTAAATGTTAAAAACGTGCATACTTTCACGGTTTTTTTTTTAGTAAATAGTAAAGTGTTTTTTTTTTAAATTGAAAACGCATCTCAAGCAAATTGTCGTGGTTTATGTGATGGTTGGACTGTACATAGTTCACTCTGACGAAGGGCTAACGCTCGAAATGTCAGCTTTGGTGACCATTCAGTTGTTAAAACCAAAATATCTTGTAATAACCCAACCGACAAAGCAACTGTTTTTTTTTAAAACTTACCCCTCCCCCCTTTATTTCAGAGATAGATTCGTGGAGCTGCAGAGGAAACGAATAGCACTCCTTTGAATAGTGACTTGGAAGTGTTGTGGGCCATTAGATCAGTATAATATGTGGGCCTACAATATAGCGACAAGATGCTATTTTAAAGGCTCTTATCGCGATAACGGATGACGATATTTCAGCTCATTTAGTAGCACAACATCGGTGCTTGATGAAGCAAAATGCAACATGGCGACATTACTTCACTTAAGAAGGTTTCCTACAGCTTCTAACTGCTTCACTTGCAGGTGGCGCCATTTTTATGGGCTCGTGAACAGACGGACGAGTGCTGCACGACAAAACCCTCTATCGTAATGGCTAACAATAATGAAAACGAGATCTTATCGAAAGCCTGATCCAGCCAGACGTATGGAATTGGTCTCTAACTAGATAATTCCAGGATAGGGGACCAATTAAATTTATGAGAGATTACCGACGAAACAACTGTTGAACAATAAGATAAAAGTTCTCACAAACCAGCTGCAGCCACAGTTTCAGTTAGGATGACATCAAATCAGAGAGAAGCTTCTTCAACCTTTACAACCCAGACACTGCACGGAAATATTCACAGTTTGTGACTTTCTAGAACTTTATAAAGCGATTTCAATGACCTCCTCACCTATTTTGGAACAATGTCCATTGTTATCAACAGGAAAAAAAAAAAAAGAAAACAATGAGGAAGCGTTGGAGTGTGTTATGCACACTTCATGCGCTCTGAGTTTTCATTGAACATCTGGCAGAATAAAGCCCGCCGAACGTGCCTTATTTTTTTTTTTTCCGGGAATCGTTATGAAAAGCAATAAGTAAAAATTTTTTTCTGGCGCCCAGATCTTCAATGATAAGATCAAAGAAACCTCAACTTGACCTGTAAAGTCTAGACATTCATTCAGTTACTTTTTCATAAACTGAAATAAGAAACTGTTAAACTACAAGTTAGCACTTCTTTACGAAATCTCGTTTCAGTTTGTCTTCAAGCAGGCCAAGCACATGCATCTGAAATGACATTCCAGAAGTGGCGTGACTGTGGTAGAACGATGTGAATTATACTGGACCCGTAGGACGGTAACCACGTGGTAATTCGCTATTTCATCATCCCAGTAATACTACAGTTCAGTGATATCAATGGGTTTTTGTTCTTGTTGAATCATACAAAACTAATACGTGTTGACCTTGAGTTAATCATCAGATCGATAATGGGATGCAAACCGCCCGACAAACAAAGATGACTTGTCGATGACTTCCTTCCTTTCAGAGTAAAAAAAAACATTGAATAATCGTATTAAGTAGTCTGCTTTTTTTAAGGCATACATATAATATTTTCGTTATAAAAAAAGGCTGGAAGAATTGCAATCATTCGCTTTTTGTTACTATCATGCACTAGCTGAGTTGACTTTGATTCTTAGGAGGCAAACAAAACGCACACACCTCACGACGTTAAGTCATCGAATAATGAACAGGCCTCACTGACCGAACATCAAAGAGCCTCAAACATTAACGAGCTTGACTGATGATGTTTAATCGGAAATACGTATTGTTGCAAACAGCTCATGGCTAACATCGCTCACCTGAATATTCAATTTAACTTTTTTTAGCATCTTTGATGAGTGAATAGGAAAACAGAACCAAGAGAGAGCATGACAAGGAGGTTAAGAGTACGAAGCCATCATTAGCCATCCGCGTAAGAGGACACCGGGGGAGGAGTTGGGATTTTTTTTCTTTCACGAGCCCTCTCCTCGCAACCGTCCTCACGTCACGGATTCCCTCTGGTGTCGCAATTGATTTTTATTTTTTGTATTCTTCAAAGCAGTGATAGACAATTGCCATAACTGAAGATATTTTGCACCCTATTCTATGCAATTTCATGAAAATTTCATTAATTGAATTCTATCATAGCCAGCGGTGCAGCTGTGCTAACGGTGACCGGGATGTTTGGTGCGATTTTTAGCGAAACAGAAGACCGCCATTTTGGGTTCTCTTAGAAGAGGAACACTGGGGATAGAAAAAAAATTAACTCCAGTGGGTAGTGGGAAGGATCGTAGGCGTGAGGGAGGCGGCAAACTTCGCAACTCGACAAACTTATGCATTTCGTTTTTACCAATAATATCGATAACTTGAGAAGTCCCTTCAATGGTAAGAGAATCCCACCTTGCGCAGATGATTTTGCAGGGCTAGAACGAAACCAAATCTAAAACATGTCAACCAAAGCGATAGACTAAAGTAATTATGTAATATTTAGTGACGTTTCTCTTTAGTTCGCAATTGAAAGCTGCGAATCGAACGAGCAAATCGTCGAACAATATTTAACACTGGTAAGAGTTAACATGTACAGTAAAACTACTACAGCTTGGAAAAAAGAAACCATGTGTTTTAGCCGCCGACTAATATTTCATGACTAAGTAATTGACCCTTGCAACTTAATTTAAATTGTAACGTTTCAAAAGATGTAGCCACAAAAATTACCCTTAAAGTAAAAGTTACCTTTCAAGTTTCTTGTATTCTTAACAGAAACGTAGGTCGCTATTTGGACAAGTCTGCTGTCTGCTGTCAGATTTGAAAACTTTCACTGCCTATATCGACCGCTGCTTCCAAATGCGGCTGTCAGCAATGACGAAGCGATATCAACTCATCTATTAATTACACTTGGAACAATGCATCAGCCCACTTTGTTTGGAATTCAATAAATGAGAGAAATGCTATATTGCTTCTGCATATCTCACAATAGAATTAGTCCCACACAATTCCGAAAAAGGAGGGAAAAAAGTATGCCTCGGAGGCGCAGCGCCCATGTTATGTTTTAATTACTTTTAAAATGTCGCGAATCACTCTCAACTTAAACGAAAATATTCCGTAAAATATATGCATATTTTACAAAGATAGACTTTCCGAGAGTATTCTTGAGTTAGTGATTCATTAAGAGAAGTATTGTAATGAAACCTACACAGCGATTTATTGTCGGGAGGGAATGTTGCTGAATTCGGTCTTAGAATTAAGTTACGTTTTCTTCTCTTTTCAGAAAAATAATGATAATAATCATGAGTAACCTAGATAAGTGGTTTTCTTACAAACGTAAAATTTTTCCCGAGGTAATTCTAATTGCTGCTAGGGGCTAATGTAATTGAATAAAACCGCACAATGTTTACCTTATTTCGGTAATAGTTCACAAAACTGTAAAGATGTGTGGATGAAGGGGTTACGTCTGAGTGAAATACGATCAACCTTTGTATGGAGAGCGGGGTTTCTTTCAGCAACAAAGGGAATTCCAACCTGTATTAAAAAAAACAAGCGTCAAAATAAAGAGAAGTCTAACATCACAAGGCTGAGGAAAAATAACTAAAATGCAACGAGAATGGTCGAGAAAGGAAAACAAAGTTTGTCAAGAGAACTTTGATTGATGTTTCAAGATGGACCACACAAAGGGTTCCAGTAAAAGCTAACACCGCCCACAAGACATCTCTCCACCGTTCACTGCAAGCTGGCTCTAAAGTGTTTGGGTTTAGTCTTACGATCCCTTTTCCGAACACAGCCGCCGAGTTCATGCGGTTCCTTTTCCGGGCACTCTGCTCGCATGACGCAGCCCTTAATCAAGCGATATTTATAAAGAGCAAACAGATATGAGCCGCAAGTTATAACAAACGTCTTGGAAATATTTTTTGATTACTCTTTGTTGCACAATAAAAGATATGTACAGGGGCGAAGTTGATGGAAGAATGGCGGTTGGGGGGGGGGGAGGAGAGAGAGTCGAGAAATGCCAATGATCTCATAACCCTGTCATATCTGAGATAACCACTTTTAATCTCAAATTGCTGAATGCGCTTGAATCTATGGGATCGAAATTGATGAGATGATCAACATATTTAGCAATCATTGTCCACGCTACCTCGAACTGATAGACATTTAGGCTGATAAGCGTTTACATTAGTATAGAGCAGTGTAACTGATGTCACATAAACCCTTCTCATCTGTGCAGCTTTCGATTTCTATGCATGATTGTTGATTCGCACCTCGCCTTTGTCAACCGTCATGCGAAAGAGATCTCGAGGTCTTCGTAGGTGTTGACATTTATTTCTTCGATCGCGGTCTTTTTAATCGCGTGACCGTTGTAAGTAAAGTGTGTCCCCCCCTCCTTAAAAAAATCTTAGCAACGCCTCTCAAATGTAAATTTAATCGTTGTTGATATTCATGGTATTGTAAACACTCCAGGCGTTTATGGCAGATTGAATGAAGGATAAAAAGAGATAAAGGTCCACTGAATAACCAACACATTGACACACCCACAAATTATCATCAAAGCAGTCAAAACTGCGCAATGAAAGCATAATAACACAAAAGACATATGTCACGATCAAAGATAATTATCACGGATTAACGATGAAACGTGATAAAATTTATTTGACCGAAACTCAAACCAGGTGTCAAATGAAAAGAAAAAAAAATTCAGGAATGTTAAATCATTATTTAGCAAAATATTTAGTACAATAGTTTCTTGTAAACCGGACCTATCAGTAACGACTCTGTAGCAAAGTTTATCCACGTTCACAAGAATTACATGGTCATGATTACATGAGAACTGAGATAATGCAAGCTTCCTGATTGGTCAAAAACCTAGAGTTTATTGCACACCGGAAAGTCCATAGAAATTAAAGTTTGTTTTATATAACAAATTAAAAATACCACACTTTCCACCGGTTTACCGACGTCATAGCTCACTTGGAATGTTGAGAGATTACTGAAAATTTGTAAGACTTTAACCGCTTATTTTCACTGGATGGCAGAAGATTTTAGGCCTGCCCCGAGTGTGCTCGGCAACTTTTGAGCAACTTTTAGCGTTTTGAACAACGTTTTGTTAGCCTAATTCATTCCTTATTTGATATTGCAATTAAAAATTGGCTAAAATGACATCAAATGAACCATGTGTTTTGTTCGTTTGACGTAAGAAGATCCTTAAATGTCGCCCATATTTGCAAGAAACTCTTTAAAGTTAATTTACAAGCTATTTTTTCGACCGTTGTTAGCAATTATTGCAAAGAACAAAAGATAAAGAAAAAAGATAAAGTTTATTAACGTTTACATAAAAATATCGAGATATTTAGGTAGCGACTTTTTAAATTTTTTTGCAATTTTTTTGCAACTTTTTGACATTCAAGTGAGCAGCACTCCAGCATTTTACGAGCACAATCCGGACACACCCTAACTGTAACTTTTTTTGCTTCATTAAGTCAAGTTAGTTTATGAATGGGGACTGAAGGGTAATACTGAACGACCCACACTTAGCCTTTCTCAAGTGTTTCTCTTATCTTATTTAGAATTATTACCTTAGCGCAAAAAAATTAGTCGAGCACTCCTCGAAGGACTGGGACGAGACACAGTTGACTATTCCACACCACCCCATTCGTGAATCGCTTTTTCACTGAGTCAAGACTTAGTTTAAGAAAGAGGATAGTCAATTTTTTAATATGGTAAAGCAAAATGTAGAGAACACATGAGAGAACAGAAAAAGATGAAGGACTGGGACGAGACACAGTTGACTATTCCACACCACCCCATTCGTGAATCGCTTTTTCACTGAGTCAAGACTTAGTTTAAGAAAGAGGATAGTCAACTTTTTAATATGGTAAAGCAAAATGTAGAGAACACATGAGAGAACAGAAAAAGATGAAAGACTGGGACGAGTGAGTAACTCAAGAAAATGTCCTGTATGTAATACTTTCAATGTCAGGGCAAATTAACGTTATAGGCTCGCGATCGTTTTCCGACCGGCCAGCTTTGATTTGGGGTCAGAGTGGACGGTAGGGCTTGGGGCTGTTGGAGGACGAGAAGCATTATTTTTGACCGTCGATCCGGTCCGCTTTGTACAAATTTCTTTCTCTCCCCAGCCTTCCGCTTCGATTAAAATCAAAGATGGCGGCAATAATTTTCGCTAAGAAAATACTGAGCACTTGCTAGCCAAAATTTCGCCTGCCAGATTCTCAAGTTACATGACACCATAAATAAAGAATAAAGCAAATTCCAACAGATTAAGAAAAAGTAACTTACTGAGAAATGAAAGACAGTTCCAACCACCTCATACTGCTAAAATTATGACGAGATTAAATTTAATGACTTGACTCATGGCCCCTGCCCTTCCCAATGATCAGCTTTCGCGTGCAAGGAGAACGCAAGGATAGAGCGAGGAGAGTGCAAGGAAAGGTTGAGAAGCAAGAAACGCACGAGAGGAAGTGTCCCTCTATTTTGTTTATACTGAACGAACGACTGTTTGAAATACAACGTACACGAACGATGGTACTTCGCAGTAGAGGGCAACAAATGGCTTCCAATCTTTGAAATGTGTCGGTTAATGAGAAAAAATCACAGTATGTATGAAATAAAAACATTATACCATGTCTCATTGCAATGCATTAAGAAACTCACTCCTTCGCTGCGCTCACTCGTTATTTTTTATAATACATCGCGACTCGTGAATAAAAATAGTGTGTGCGTACTTTCCATAGAATAATCTCTATTTCCTACGCATGTCTAACTCTTTACATTCGTCTCGGCTTGCCAGAAAATCGCAGAACGAGGAAGCATTTCCCGTAGGCTACATTGGCTGCAATGTTTTAAAACCTTGTTGTTTTTCACTATTTTAACTTTATTAATCGAGAAAAACGTGTTAAATTTTTAGCTTTAGGGAGGTTTCATAAAACTAGTTAATTTTCGCTAGCGATAGATCAAATTACTTGTCCGCCTCATACACGTTATCATCGCTAACCTTTGTTTAAATGTACGAGCATTGCAATCGAAAAAAAAACACACTGATTGAGAAAAATCCAGAAAAGTCATGTAATCGGAAGCTCATATTTTATTCATAATACTGCATTGATAGTATTTTTGATCTTAAAAGCTTCATTTCAGTGGTTTGGAAAATTCATTCTTTCAGTTGAAAATATTTAAGTCAATATGTTGGGTTAAATTAGTAAGACAATAGACAAACTTCATTTATTTTCACTTCAGAGCAAAAAAGAAAAACAAACACTACAAGACTTTAAATCAAGGTAAAAAATGAAGGAAATTATTGTACAAAGGGATGAGAGCCATCACTGGTCACAATATTTGTTCGTTTTCCTTACAGTCACGTCCTTTCAACATTTTTAATTAACTACAACACCTTTAACTGTTTTCGAAAATGTTAACGAAAAATTTAAGCTAAATAAGGTTAGCTTCTAATAAGACAGTATTTATTTTTCTTCCCATTTCCGCCGAAAAAAAAGCCGTTTACCTATTGAAACTTTTAAACGTCATCTGCTTGTGTCGATATCTAATGCATTTCTAAATAAACTCTGCGTTGTTACAATAATGACGTGGGACAAATAAATGATCAATTTTATCGATAATTCAGCAAATGCAAATTTAATATAAAAAACACCTTTATGATATAAACTTTGGGATTCCCAATGCGTGCGCCAGAAGCAAAAACCTGCAACTGCGTTTTGATCTCCCAACTGGCGAAACGTGCCTTGACCTAAACAATATGATTTCGTGTCTGAAGAAAATCGTACTTCTCACACTGACTTTTATCCGAGCAGTAAGAGGTCCTGATATTTCTACACCATGCAGCGATAACTGTAAATGTTCAGTTTGTCCTTTCAGAGGACTTAAAAACCTGACTGAGGTGACTTGCAACGCAACACGCCTTCGAGAAATTGTCATTCCTTCACGAGTCAACATCTGCGCCTTGTAAGTAGATATCTTTCAGATGAATTTTGCGGTAGGACTGGCCGAGTACAAACCAGACTTTGTAACTGTCTGTCATTTAATTTGCCATTCTCTTTGAGAGGACGCTTTTTATTGACTTAGTGAATTCACAGCGAATGGACCTGTCTGTAGTGTTAAAGTCAATCAACGACTTTAGCTGCAGGAAAGGTGGCCTTTACCCAGTCAACAAACGACTAGATACCCCCTATCCGCGTGAAATATTATTATCCATTTTTAATCAGGGAACTAATTGATAAAAATTACAATCGAAACCATTTCTCCTTCCGCGAAAACGGCTTGGAACACTTTGTTGGGACCGGACATCGAGTCTGTTCCCAAAAGGGACAAGAAATCTCCTTGATATCAACTTATTTATGGACTTAAGGCAAATTCCATTTTTTCTTAAAACATCACATTTACAATTCAACAAATGTCGTTGGAAATTTTATTCATTTATAATCCAGTTAATGGCAGTTTATTCAACCTCATTTTTTTTTCTGGAAATCTCAGAGAAATAAGATGATGAAGGTCGCTCTCAAACTCCTTTTTTTTTTTCTTTTTTTTTTCACACGTCGATGTAAGAAAGCGAACCCAATATAGCTAGTTGATTTATCTCTTCACAAGGCCTGTATTCTCTTCACGGTTTTCAGTTTTGTTCCTTGAACGAAAAATATCCTCGATAAACTCGACGGATATCTAAGCTCTAGGGATTGTCAGTTGAGGATCATCTTTGAAATCGTTTTGACAGTGTTAAATATGTTAATCCTCTTGATTACGAGCGGATTTTAAACCTTTG